ACTTTTTTCGATTTGTGATGAAGTTTTAATGAAATTTATCTCGTCAAAGAATGTGATATAGATAATATATATGTATAGTTGTTTGATACACTAGCTTGGATTTGTATCACGTATCAATATAATGTCTATGTCGAGGAGTTGTCGTGACTCGATAAAGTCAAATTTAAAATGGTTAAAATGTGTTTTGATCAAAAAAGATAAAAGTTGTTCATATTGATAATGTGAACTCTTATAACTAAAGTCTATATGAGCATCTTCTATCACATTTGAGATGTTCAATTATTTAAAGACACTTGATCAATGTTTAGAAATAGAGGGTCGAATAACATTACTCTTAAAATAAAGAGCATATTACTTTTAAATAGTCTTTTGAAGATGAACTAATCACTATGGTTTTGTGCTCAGCTCCTCTTCAATGAAGTTTTTAGCATTTACTTATCGATGCATATTAGCAACAAAATTTTAGTATGAAGTGAAGAGAAATTTAAGGGTTTTGCTAGGAAAACAGGGAGGCTGAGTGCCTCCCCATAACCTGTCAAGAAGGCAATCAGTCTCCTTGTTACGTGATCCGCCTCTATGTTACAAGAGCAAAACTCAAAATTTAATGCAAATATGCTCACATGCGTGCTCCTTTGTAGAAATAAGATTCAAAGCATGTTTGGTAAGATTAAAAGTCAATTAAAATCAATTTTTTGACTGTTATTTCACTATTTCAGCTGTCATTTTTTGAATTCTTCTCTTACAGGTAAGATTCATTTTATCTCTAACGGTCAAAAAATCAATTAACAAAATTCCTACCAAACAAGCACTCAATATTATATAAGATAGATTCTATAGTAAACCTTTATTTGAGATTATAATATTTATTTTTAAACTCTCTCTTTTCCTTCCGTTGACTCACTGCCAAATTAATGACTCCAATGTTCAAATGCAAGTGTCCGGGTGAAATGTATGGATTTATGATGAACAAATTGTGGTGTACCCATCCGTACAATACTTGCAATGCATGGACCAACCCTCCTTAATATAGCTAGCTAGCTAGCAGTGGATAAGTAAAGGGAGAAATAAATAACTTTTTAATGGCCCTGCAATCAATGAAGGGAAAAGTAGTTCACTTCCTCGAACGCTGTATTCGACTCTGAAATCGATTGTAAAAATAGAATACTCAGTTACTTGTGAATTTACAAGTGAAATGTATTGCATGCATTGTTAAATACAGAATTCTAAAAGGTTACGGAAGAAAAAATCATTAAATATGAACATTGTCTATCTTCTTGTCATCGATATATCTTACTTGATTCTATAGTCATAACCTTTTTTTCTTTCGTGGACCAAAAGTTTGTGTGAGAAGGTATTTGATCAAGTCGAGTTGGGTCAAGTCAATACACGAAATTATTACCAGAGGTTTCATTCAACCTAACCGAGCACAAATATTTTACTAAACAATTGCACTTGTGAAAATCTAGACAAAAGGAGTTGATTTGTGAAATGGCGAACTTCACAAAGCACTTTATTATGCTTACTAATTTAGTTAATTCTCACCGAATACGTTGAGATGTCTTTGTTAATTGCTTTTCAATAGGAATTGTGAAAGAATTCCTCAAGAAAATCTCTCAGGAAGAAGAGAAACTCGAATGGAAGCATAGGCTCGGAAAATTGGCCGTGAAAAATTTCCATGGCAACAAGGTTTCGACACGCTCTCAACTCGTTTCGACAATCGGTAAGTTCTTTCACTTCAACAAGGACTCCAATTGTTTTTTTTTTTCACAGTATCTTAGCAGTGTGTATTTGATTGACATGGAAAATGTTTTTCTTGTTTTGAGAAAAACAAAAACATGTTTCCATCCAAAGAAAATATTTTCCTCAAAAACTAGGACGTATTTTCAAAAATTTGAGAATATTTTTCCGTGAAAAAAATTGCAATCAAACACTTTGGAAGTTTGAATTCGAGTGAAAAAAATGACAACTTTCATTGACAATTTTCCAATTGAATTGTTATTGTATAGAGCTAATGTCCAAAATATAAAATAAAGAATTAAGTACTTATTCTACTTATTTTAGTTTCCTGTGCACGAAATTCTTTTAAATTCTAAATTTTAATTAATTACATGTATTGCCGTAGGATAGTCATACTCAATCACCTTCTGGCAATAAATATATTGAGAATTAAATTTTAAGATATGTATGAGGTGACACAGATTTAAATTGGACACTTTGTTTTTAGTGGCTGCAACTTTAGTTCCAGAATAGTTAATTGTGTGCAGCCATGGCCCAATTAATCTGATTTTACAAACATTATCTAAAATATACAAAAAGATAATATTAACTTTTCTTTTCTGTTCTGTTCGGAGCATCTCTATTTTTCGTAGCCTAGATTATAAATAGAAAAATGGGTATGTGTGCCACTTAATTAAATTGGGTTCAAGATTAGAATCTATTGCATTGGGAAATAATGTCTGGCTTGTCGATTGTGTGCCATTCATTCCAACATGGCGAAAATTATGTGAATTAGAGTGACTACTTGAATCAGGGTTTTGAACATAAAGATTCCACTGACCTATAAAAAGTGGGCCTAATCCTTGGGAATGCGGTAATACCTCTAAGTCTTCATGGATTGAACTGAGTTTGACTAAGTTGACAAAGAGAAGCATGTAAAATGTTTGTTAATTATCTCTCCCATTCTTGTTTAGTTCAATATTTTTATCGAGAGGAAGGCAAGTCTCCCTCCCTCTTGTACCAATATGTTACCATGGGGAGGTATAGATTAGGATGGCAAAAAGGCTCGTGGGCTCAAGTCGCTTGTGATCCGGCTCGCAAAAAGTTCAAGTCGGCTCAGCTCTTAGGGGTTTCGGGCTGAGCCCGTGTAGCTCGCGAGCAGGGTAATAAAAAAAAACCGTGTAAGGCAGCGTGCCAACTACCATTAAACAAAGGCAACCACTAGCTGCCGTTTAAAGGGGAAAAAACCAATAGGGAAAAAAATCGAGTCAGCTCGTCTCAACCCGTTTCGAAAGCTCAAGCCGAGCCTCGATTTTTTGGCCGAGTTTTTGCTCGACTCGGCTCGTTGACATCCTTAGGTATAGAACATGTTTTATTGGGCTTTTAGGGTATCTCCAATGAAAATTTCAAAATATCCAAAATTTCAAAATATCATTTTGCACCATAAATTTTTTTAGGAGAAAATCATTTGTACAAAAGAGGAGTTCTAACCCTTCTAGAAGAGACACATGAGGTCGATCCCATACGGGACGCATGAATGATAAAAAATTGCAAAAAAATGGTCAACCTCCCCCTTGTGTGTTATCTGTAGAGCTTCTATAAAGTTCTGTTCTGTACGTGTACTGGGGGTCATTTTTTTAATGTAGCATCATAATTTGAGTCATTTTGCACCAAAATGGTGTAAGTGAATTTTGCCTTTTTTTTTTTTTTTTTTTTTCCATTTTTCGAACATATTGATTAAGGGTATTTGTGTTGTTTTTATTATATTTTTTTTAATATAATAAATTATTATTATTACTATAATTTTGTGCATTTATAATAAATTTTAATAATATAATTAAGAATAATTAAGAATTTTTTAATTTAGTAATTATTTTCGTTAATTTAATGTAATTATTTCTAATAAATTAATAATATAATCAATTGTTTTAGCAATTTAATGTAATACATAAAACAAGTGAATAATTTAGCAATCAATAATAATTCAATACTTTCATTAATTTAATGTAATTATTTATTTAGTAATTTATATAGTTGTAAAATAAATAAATTATTAAAAATCTAAAAAAATGAAGCTGATTTTAAGTTTGGTGCAAAATCTGATGTAAAATGATGTAATACTTATCTCAAATTTTGATGCAGTGTTAGAAACGGTCTTAAGGTGATCAAATTAATTTATAAGTCAAAAATACAATCAAACATCTTGCTTAAATTGTGAAATGACTTATTTTTAAGCTTAAATTGAAATAAATCATAAGCTGAGTCCATATGACTTATCTTAAAAATAAGTAGAATTGGTAAGGGGAATTATCAATTTACCCTCCAGCTCCTCAACATTTACCACCAAGGAAAAATCATTTAAAGATACTAGTGGAGGGTGAGACCCTCAAAACAAATAGTGATTGCAATTTACCTCGCCCACCCCGTCCCGAATGGGGCAAAACAATTCATCCCATCTCGAGGCCTAGGGCGAGGATGCCCTGCCTAATGAATTTTTATTTATTTTTTTTTACGTGAAAATATGAAAGCAGAAAATCTTGGTTTGCTTCCATTGGAGAATTTTACGTGGAAATATGAAGATCAAGCATCTTTTGTATCAATAAATATGAAAAATAAATTTTTTCGTATATTTGAAACATATTTATATTTTCGAAACAAATAAAAATACTTACACGATAGAACAAATTTCTAATTATTTGTTCATCCAACCCTTAATTTATCATAACTTTGTTACTAATTAGTTGATTGTTTGTTACTTATTTGTTTACATACTTAATTATAACTATTATAACATATTTAGAGTTCATCTATTCAACATATTTGAAAATCGCTTTTTATTTAAACTTATTTTCTATCACAATTTTTTTAATAACATAATTTACATGTAGACTTATAATTTTTTCATACTTTTATCTACACATTTTCTAAAAATCATTTACACTATAAATAATTTTATCCCAAAACAAAAACTTAAATTTTCATAAAGTAAGGGCATTCTTTATTAAAAGTTCAACTTGAATGTTATCCGTATTTTATTGAACTTGAAATAAAAAAAAAAATTAAACGAGACAAGAAAATTGCCGGGCGGGAGAGGCGGGTTCTGGGCGAGGCGGGGAACCTGCCCCGTTGCCATATTATACACACAATTATTGTACATGATCAAAATTAAAATTAAAATTAAAAAAAAATCACAAATGAAAAAATTGGATTTCAAAATACGAAAATTAGTTTACTTTCATAAGATAGGTGCTAACCCTATTTTTTTAGGATGATGCTAGATGTACACCTAGGGAAGTTGAAGAGATGGAGGTATCAATCTTTCGTACCCTTAACTTCAACTGCCCCAACATTTTTCTTAATGCTAGAAAGACCCCAGACATTTAGCGTCGGGTTCATTTAAGTCCACCGAATTATTAAACCATAAGCCTTGAGCAACCCAAACTTGGATGGGGAGAGAACGGTGACAATGGCGGCACTTCGAAAATACCTTTCATATCTCCACCTTCCCAAACGCCCGTCCAACTTGACGGCGTTAAAGGCACTGCGGCAGCCGGTAATTCGTGCACCTCCTCTCTCTTCACCTCCTTCTTTTCTCTCTCTTCACTCCCAATTCCTCTCACCCTTTTCCCGCAAGCCTTCACCTGAGCATCGTTTTCCGGCAAGGGGTTAGATATTCCAATTTCAAGTGGAAAATTCAGTATAGCCTTGCTGCCTCTCAGCTTAAACGCCGCCCTGTCGTAAGCTTTCGCCGCCTCCACCGCCGTGTCAAAAGTCCCTAGCCACATCCGTGTCCCTTTTCTATTGGGGTCACGAATCTCCGCTGCGAACTTCCCCCAGGGACGTTGCCTAACACCCCGGTAATGCTTCCGGTCACCGGAATCTTCAACTTCCCTGTCACATACTGTACCGTTGCGAACATTGCCACTCTCAAAGTACTCAACTTTCTTGATTACTTTTGGGATAGCAATGTTCAGTGAAGGTTTTCTTTCACTAAAACTAGTTGGTTTTACAGGGTTTGTGTTAATAATCTGTGGCTTTGTTTCAAACTCAAAGTAATTTGAAGAGTTTTCTTGTATGGAATTAGAATCATCAAGAAGGTGTTGGCGTATGAATTCAAGAGATGCCATTTTAGACTTGAGTTGGATAAGTAATCAAGGAATTGACTGCAAGAAATGTAAAGAATTCAGATGGAATATTTGAGTGGAAATAAAGGAGTGAGGGGGGAATGATTTATAAAAGGGTGAAAATAATTTGGATGGGGAGATAGTATAGGAGGTTTCATGGAGGGTTCCTAGGTGGAAAGAAGAAGCATCGTAGAGTATGAGGATGCATGATAGTGGTTTCTTATTTGGTGACTTTCCACTAAGAGCCCGTTTCCAAGTAACTTCCATAAATTGGTGTCGATGTTGGGTGCCCAAAATGACTCAACACTCAGGACCGGATCCAGCACCTGACGAGCCGGCACAATCCCCCGTGCTAGATCCTCTGAGAAAAAAATTATTGAAGATTTGTGTTAAATATTTATATATAAATGGTTTTGTGCAAAAGATTTAACAAAATGGGCACGCTGCTTGGGTGGTAGCATCCTAGCCTTTGCATTAACAATACACGTTCGATTCCGTTGGCTGGCATTACGCCATTTAATTTTTAAACAGAATAATTAAATATTAATAAAATATTGTACCAGCCTTCAGTAAAGCGGGGATAGCTCACATGGTAGAGGGGTTCTTCTTTGTATGTAAGAGGTATGGGGTTCAATTCTATATCCATCCAATTTTTTAATTAATTTTTTGTTACAATAAATAATAACTAAATAACTATAGTTTTCGTTTTCAAAATAATTTCTTTAAAAAATTTATTCACTTAAATTATTACTTCATAATATAGACACTTTTATCATTATGTTTATTCAATTTATTTTATAAAATTCAAATTTGGACAATCTAAGAATTGCTCTTTATTCTTTTAAAACTTTGGAAAACAATTTTATTTTGGCATAAAAAATAGTTCTAGTTCTGAAAATCATTGTTTTCAAAATTTGGTTTTGGTGTCAATTTTTATTTATGACTAATGAATAATGATCTATGGTCGATGAGTTAATTGGCAATTTGGCATCAAAATGAGAATTATGAATCTATGGTTGGGATAAATAATTTATGTTGTATGAGTCATTGAGTTATGAGTTATAAATCATTTATAAGTTTTGATTTGTCATTTGGGAATTTATGTTTAGGAATATAGGATGAGTGAAAAAAAAAATCAATTGAGAGGATGTTGGGCTCAATTTAACCATGTGTGCTTTGTTTTTTAATCAATTCTAATTGAAAATAATTGGGGCATTTTTGCAGATTACTAAACAATTTTTTCAACCAAAACGAAAATCCATATCTATTTATTCTAATTTTAATGGTGTATCTAATTCTTTTAATTCCAGTCCATACAATTTTTTGAATATTATTCAATTAAATATTAATAAACGTCTGTGTCTCGCTATCACGAGCTTTAGCTGTTGACAGTAAATGTTCAATGTTTGCGGTCCGCCCTAACTGAACTCGAAGCCTAGATTCGTCCCTATCAACACTCATAAAGCGTCCCTATCGACACTCATAAAGCGTGATTAGTTGTTTTCTTATCACTTTGATTGTAAATGTAAGCCTGAGTAAGGGGGTAAATTTGAGCAAGACCATACAATACAATAAGTTGAATTTAATTTGAAATGGGCGTGTCTAGATTTGGACCTCCGCTACATTTCAATGGATGCTTGGCCCAAAGTATATCGACCTAAAAGGGTTGTGTCGGGTTATAACGATCTAGCGAGGTATGATTGTCTAATTTACCTCTCCAGGATTTGAGTTGCTTGTTTAGCTCTTGGCCCATGAAGCTCGATAAAATTGCAAGTCGTACATGATCCCCTATTTATGTTGAAAACACGATTTAGATGAATAATATATAATTCATCTCTTAGTTCCACATTTTAAATGAGAGGATTAATATAGTATTACAATCATGTAAAAATTTGAGTTCAAGTCTCACCGTTATATAGATAAAAACATGATGCGTTATGTCAAACATTCAAGCAGAATCCATTCATATGAAGCCATTTTTGAAAATAATATTTAAATACAGATAATATATCTTAACTTTTAAATGAAATTGTTAACATTTTCACATGCATGAAAGATTGGTAGTTTAAAAATGAGAAAATTGTAGTTAATGTATCAAACATTTCATTTATTAGTAGACTTGACCAAAAGCTTTCATTTATGCTACCGGAGGTACCAAATCTTTAAAAAATTTGCAGGTTCAATGCGGAATGATGATTCTCGTTTGCTTGACCACCAAAATCATTAGTTGACCTAGTAATGAAAAAATTAATAAATTCTTCCAAATAAGTGAAGGTTAATTTGGGCATTACACATTTTCCCTTCAAAATCAAACACGTCGGTTATGTATTCATTTCACTCGCTATCCACTATGGAACCTGCAAAAATTGACGAAGAAAAATGAAACGTTTGAGGCTCTCTTCCTCAACCTGTGTATGGTAAGTGTGCTCCTTTTTTTTCAGTTTACATGATGAAATATTGTGATTATGAAGCAGTGCGTGTCAATTGTCTTCATGTACTGGGAAATCTGAAAATGTTAAGTGATTTGATGACTTGGAAATTAATATACTATGTAATATCTTTTCTATACATATGCTTTTCTCAAACTAAAAAAGGCTAGGGTTTAAACTTTTCTTCTTCTTTTTTTTTTTTCCATTATTTTGTTCTGGGGAAAATTCAAAGTACTTCAGCATACGACTTCATCACGATGGAATTTTATTTGGAAAGATGAGAAATTTTGTGTACGAGCATGGTAAAATAAGTTATTAGACTATGTTGACCTGATTTCTTCAATAGATTTCTTCTGGACATTGCCATAAAAATGTTGGGATATTCTGATAGAATCATATATCTATACAAGATAGAGAAGAAGAGATTAAATGAGACATCATTTTAGTTGGTTAAAGATTCAGATTTCATGAATGTAGTGAAGTTGCTTAGTAATAATAAGATAGTTGAATTGCATTGCTTGCATGTAGTTGAGATTTTGAGTTGCCTTGAGATGAAAGAGAACATAAGGCTGTTCTTGTGGTTGATTGTAAGACTAGTGAGGAGTTAGTCAAAGCTCAAAAGTTTGGAGTACATGATTAACCAATAAATGAGCAACAACCATACTATGCTGTTGAGATTTATGATGAATCATTAAAAGGTGATGACTTGTACATAGTTGATAAAGTGGATAACATTGAAGCAGATGAAGAGTAGGTTATCTTTGGAGGAGATGATGTGCAAGATGATAGGCTTTAAGATGGATGTTGAAGCACAAGATGATGTTGAAGAGGCTGCGATGCATAGAATACAAACTGATCCCATTAAAATTGATGATGGTATTGAAGATGTAGAGCTTGAGAAAACGGAGGTTGATTTAACTAGGACTGAACAAGTGGCTGGGTGAATTTTGATGGTGGTTTTGAAGTAGACTTATATGAGGTACAATCTAATATTCATGACTAAAGATTCATGCCATTGAACCAAAAGTGCAAGCGATTGAAACTGATGTCTAGTATGGTGAAAATAAAGTAAAGCAATGTGAGACGATGTGGAGCATGGTGAACCCTATATTGAGATACAGGCTGGTGACTCTGGGGTACAACATGGTGTACCAGGGGTGCATGATAACGAATAGGAGATGCAGCAATGCGAATCGAAACATTTTGAGGCTTACTTCACTAAAGATATAGATGCAACTAAGCAAGAAGACCATGTAGATGAAACTGAAACTAATTATATTGAGGCCGAAACTAATCATGATGTTGAGCGAGAAGACCATGTAGATGATGTACAAATAGATTCCATAGATCTTATGCAACATGATAAATATGAAAAGGGTATTTTGGAGGAATGCAATGACTCGGAGTATGAGCAAGAAGAAAGTATTACTAGGAATGATAATGATGAAAACAAAGATTTCAGGTTAAGCGATGGTTTTGATATTGGCACGGATTGTGTAAAAGATGAGCAGGAAGGTGAGGCAATTCCTAAAGAAGAAAGTAGAACAGACTATGAAGACTCAGATGAGCTTAGAAGCTTACCCAATGACAATGAAGTTGAGGGATCATCCACCAGAAGGATGAACGAGTGCTGGTTTAACCCTACAATTGATATGGATAATCCTAAGTTCAAGACAAGTAACACATTTGTAATGATACATACATTGTTTAGCCGTTTGAATATATATATGACAATACGCTATGTTCATTTCTTATAGGGATGAAATTTGACAATGTCAAGACTCTAAAGACTGCAATAGTTCAATACTCAATTAAAAATTCCAAGCAACTGAAATATGTGAAAAATATGAGGACACGGATGCGATTTAGATGTCAAGATAACTGTCGTTAGGTTCTATATGCATTCCAACAACCAGACAATAGTCTTAAAATTAACATATTCGGAGATGAGCACACATTTACTATGGTGTGGCAAAATAAAAGGGTTAATGTAGGTTATCTGTCAAAAAAACACATAAGAAAGTTTAGGTCTGATCCCAAAATTCTAATGAGCTGTTTTATGAAAATTATGAAAGAAGATTGCATGTATGAGATTTCAAAGCATTAGTTATACATAACAAGATCTAAATGTGCAGAAGTAGTTCATGGATTGTTGTTGAATAGTACAAATTTTTATGGGATTATGGTGAAAAATTAAAGAGAACAAATCTTGATAGTACGGTACTGATTGAAGTTTCAGGCAGGGGCGGACCCACGTGGGGTCATGTGGGGTCAAATGATCCCACAGTTTTCTGGAATTTTTTTTTTTTTTGGGACTGAAAACTTAATTTTCTGCCCAAAAAGTCCAAATCCTAAATTTATGTCTATATCCATTATTTAGTCCATAAATATATCATATAATCCACCGATTTCTTCCCAAAGTGCAAATATCGAACGTGAACAGCAAACAACCGATTTTTCCTTTTTGTTCATGATACGTTGTTCGGAAAAAAAAATTTTGACCCTATAGTTTGAACGGTCTAGGTCCGTCCCTGGTTTCAGGTCATACTTTTAAAAGATTGTACATCTATTTAGAGGCTAGTAAGGAAAGGTTTGAGGCTGAATGCAGGCTAGGTGTTGGGTTGGATGATTGTTTCATAAAGTCTGTATGAGATGGGCAGTTGTTGGAAGCTATTGGCATTGATGATGAAAACTGTATGTTTCCCATAGCATGGGCAATTATAGATGCTGTAAACAAAACAAATTGGCAATGGTAGAGTGTTAACTTGACAAAACAT